CATTCCCATAGAACCGCGGCGACAGCTACAAAACAGACCTACGGCGTACGACAAATAAGACGTTTGTTAGGAGAAAGGGTCGTTTCCATCTTAATCACTCTTAAACGGTAACTCAAGGCATTCGTCATCGGAATATTTTACGTGTAATTCAGAAGTTCTTGACCTAGTCGTAATAATGATTCAATTATGGTGACGAAATAAATCGACGCTTGACTAATCACAAACGTTAACGATTGGTGACATCGAAGTCGGTTTTCGTGATAAACATGTAAATGATCGTGAGGTTTGTAGACCTCGGTGTTTACTGTCGTTAACCCGAGCTATCTAAACCATTTATCTAGAGATTGGACGAAACGTCAGACTTTCCAGAATGACGTCGTTCGCGTCCCGTTAACGATGATCCTCGGGAAACGATGACGCATGCATTCCAACGAATTAACTTCGAAATATTGCGGGAGATCTCGCTGACTCCCACGAAGTCCAACAACACGTGTCCTCGAAGTTTCTCGCGCGAGAACATGGACGTGTATACACACGCGAGTTTCTTCATCCCTTGTACCCATACGAGCGACTATTAATTCGAGCTAGCATAAGCAAAGCAATATCGCGGAAATTCTATCGATAGTTGCATCTGCCTGACCAACAACAGTGTGAGTGTGCAACGTTAGGGAACAATTGGACAGTGACGTAAGATGCGCGGGAATAAGATTTAAAATTCGAGGAGTGGCCACCGCGACAATGGCGGCGCTTCTGATTAGAATTGACATTCGTATTGTGTTTCATCGATTCACACCGATCGATGTGCAATGGAACTGCCTCGAACCGGCATGATTTCTCCCTCGTGATCGTTTATCATCGGGAGTCCCTGTATAAGAAACGTTAGACTCGCCGAAGCAACTGACTTCACAATTACCGGTAACTTGATTCGGGATTCGCTGGACGTAAACGTTTATCATTTCGCGGTAAGTTCGCGTGGCTGCTCGAGAAGCACCTTATCTTCTCCTACCAGGTACCTCGCGATTCGTGGAATCGAGATTAGTCACGAATACATTTTGACAGAGCTGGCTATTTCTAACGCGCCTTGTGGCTGCAGGGGGTGCGACCGATACGCGTATTTTTAGAAAACGATGTTATTAACCCTCTACGGTTTAAGTACACTTCGATAGAAATTTCCCTTTTCCCTTCTATACTTTCATACTCTTTGCTATACATAGAACCGTTTGCTCGCTGACATCCATTTTCTTGGACATAATGACACTGGCGAATTAACGGTATTCGGGAAATCGCATGGAATTTTATATGAAATATTTATTTTATAGGTCGATCAACGAATCGCAAAGGCGAGTTTCAGGATAGTAAATATATACCCTGTTCACAGAGGCGACATGAATAAAACGGAACTGAACATCGTGCTCAGCGCGGAGCCAGCGAGGACAACCTCGAGCGTAATTCACTCACACATTCCGGTGCCGAGGATATCGAATGCAATTAAAGCCCAGGAAAGGTGTCCCCCATCCCGCAGGGGGTCCTTCGAAAAGCTATCCAGAGGAGTGTCGGTCGCAGCTCAAAGGGCGTCCTTCGAGAAGCTCGACGCTTCCGTCCAGCAGCAGCGATCGAGGAACAATAATTTGTCGAGCTCGAGCATCGAGATGCGGAACTCGGAGACTGAGAAACCCGCTTCCCAGACTACTACTAACTGCAAGACGAACGAGCTGGTCGGTGTCTCGAAATTGAACAGGAGCAATAGCCTGGAGAGCAAGTGGAAGAACAAATACGAGGAGTCGGAGAAGAGGAGGAAATTGTTGCTACAGAAGAGCGAAGCCGGTAATTAATAATTAGTAATAAGTTTCGCGGCGTAATGAGCGTTTGTATGGGCCGCCTAAAGTCGTTACCGAACTTTATTATGATTCCATTAGTCATCATTAACGAAGTGACGAAACACGGCTTCTTCCCTCCGCCTGCGAGCATTAATTTGATTAAACAGCTAGGATAGAAGCTTGGTAAATATGGAACGGCGCCGGCTGTACTTACAGCTTCCCTCTGATGCATCTTTCAACAATCTTTTTTCCCCCCGCAACGTGGTTAAAATTGTTATCCTCGTAGCGAGGTTCTTCTCCGTTTCTGGTCACTTTATCAGTTTATCATTTATCTCGGAGACTTTCTTGGAATCGATTGATTCCTTGTTGCGAGAGAGATCAAGGTGTAATAGACTTACGTAAAGTAAGAAACGGAGAGGCTCCAGCTATTATATATGGCGAAAGGGAAGTGGCTGATGCGTGATTGTAGTTCACGGCCAATCCTATGTAATGCAACTTAATCGTTATTCGGTCGTGATTCATTCCTGCATGCAAAACGAACTCTGTGACGTTTTCTTAGTCAGTGACCATACGCGATGGAATTATAAATTGATCGGAATAAAATATCGCTTGCATCCGCCACGTTTGCATCCGTGAGTGCATTTACGATTGAACTTCCTTCCGAAATATGTTCTTTTCATTGCAGCTACTAAGGAACATGCGGACTTGGAGAAGAAATATCAACAGTTGCAGAGACAAAATAGCACTTTGCAGTCGCAAATTCAAGAAAAAGAGCAGAAGCTACAAAAATTGCGGACAGGTAATTATTTGCATATCGCGAATTTCTAAAGTTTTTGGTGGTTTTTATCCAATAAATTTTTGAATTTTTCCTCTTTTTCAGTTTCCGAGGCAGTATGTAAGGAATACGAGCAATTGAAACATCAGTACGATGTTGAAACGGGTGCTATGCACAAAGCTATGCAACAAGCGTCACAGGTAAAGATAAAACGATCAATTTCATTCTTATTATCCTGCACGTAACTTATCTTGGTAATATCACTTTCAGTGGTACAGGCAAAACCGTGAATTAAAGAGAAGATCGCAGATCATAACTCAGAAATTCCTGCAAACGAATCCGGAGGGTTCGTTGGATCTCGAGATATCGGATGAAGTTGACTCGAATTTCGAAGATCTTGATCAGCTGAGAGAAACGGTGAAAGGTAAAAATCAAGATTCTTAGCTTACGGTTTCACCGTTAATTATGCAAGGTACTTATAAGAGCGGGTAATTTACAGAATTGAGCAAAGAGATAGCGAGGCTTCAGACGGAGTTGCATTCCGCTCGCCTTCAAGAGTTTGAAGCTCAAGAACAGGTGACGCATTTGACCACGCATTTGGAGGAGGAAAGAACTCTCAGACAAAAATGTAATTAAAAGACAAAAAATAAATCTGCACAATTGGAATGTTCGTTTAATCATGGAATTTGTCAATTAGGTGAAGAGAAAGTGAATGAGATGAAGGTACAGAAGGAAAATATGGAAAGGGTGACGAAGATGGTGGCAGAGGAAGTACAGGCATTGAAAGCACAATGTGATCGTGAGAGAGAGAATGCAAAGATTATGAAGAGAGAGGCGGAAAGGGTAAGATCGGTAGCCAAATATGCACGTTAAAATAATCTAATGGTACAATTAAAATAATATTTTCTATTGCCCTTTCAACAGGTGCAAAAAGAACGAAATGTATTAGCTCATCAAAGTGCACTCCTGATGGCAGAAGTTGGTGACGACCCTAACGGAAGATTATTAACCGTTCTTCAAGAAGTAGAATCTTTGAAGAGATTATTGGAGGAAGAGCAACAGAATCATGCTTCTCACATACAAATGTTAGAAGAGAAGCTGGAGGAAAAAGAATCGAACGTCGAGTTCGAAATAGTGGAAGAAAAGTTAAAGCTTGCCGAGTTGGAACTAGAAGTTGTAACGCAGAGGGCAGAAAGGGCAGAGAAGTTGGTGGAAACTCTGGAAGGAGTGGTTCAAACTTTGAAGGCGAAAATCAGTGAACTGGAAGAGAAGCTTTCCAGGCCACCACCACCCCCCTTACCACCTCCGCCACCGCCGATGTTCAACAACGGTGGACAATCGTCAATCAAATTGCTGACGAAAGAAAAAATGAATTCGGAACGGAATGCGGTGACCGACATGGAGAACATGCTTGGAATTACGAAAAAAGCACCGACAGTTGCACAACAACCTGGTAATTATATTTTAGATTTTACAGCTTGTTAAGCAACTGTGTTAAACGCGTTCCATACGTAGTTATCATTCTTTAATCGTTCCAGCTATTGACGATATTATCAATCAGATAAAAGGAGGACGCTTTACATTAAAGCAAACAGATGTAAGTTGTTTATTGACAGATTTTTTTTACAAGTGAAAATCATGTTTCTTAAGTGAAATGATTTATCGCAGAAACAAAGAGAGGAGGAGAGAAGGAGACGACAAGAAGCAGAAAGCGCGCCGCCTGCTGTCTCGGAAATGTTAAATATTTTAGGCACCATGAGAAGGAAGGCTAAGCCAACAAAGCAATCGTTGAAATCAGCAGACTCACCGACATAAAAATAGATATTGTTAGTAATGTGCAAAAATTTGTTTGTAAGTCTCAGGCACAAGTTACGTATTATTGTTGAGACATAATCGCGACATATATTTTTTTTAAACAAAGATTTGTTGTACGAGACTATTGTTTATAATATTATTTATTTAGTCGAAAAATAAATTTTTTACCATTGAATAAAGTATATATATTTACGATTCGAAAAAAATTTGTTCAGATGTGTAATGTGAGAGATGGTCTTAAAGTATAAAGAAGATGAATAACAGACGGTTAAAGGGCAAGTGATGGGAGACAGATTGCAATAAGCAGTATTGAAAGGTGTATTATAAAAAGCTGATTACATTTACTGTAAAATACAGTAGTTCATTATACAAAAGATTGTCAAAGAAATTATCTTTGAAAAGCGTATACCTTCCTTTAATACACTAAAGGAAGTAGTTTCTTTAGGAATATGAGGTGAGTTAATGTTAGTCCTTCAGGTTAATTAAGAAATATGTTTTTTTATTTTATCAATAATTGGTTGTAGTTTGTTAGCTTCAAACAGTAGTACCCTTCTATAAGGTATCATTTCATCATCTGTCTCAGTCCATGTTCCAGACAAACCACTATCGGACTCATTTTCAACTGAAAATTCAAAACTGACTGTTGCTTCCTCTGCAAAAATTTCTTCTTCTGGATTACTCCATATAATAGTTGGTTCTTCTATGTTATCTTTCTTTTTGTGTTTCAATTTTTTTTCTAGTTTCTTATCTTCCGTTTTGTGGAGTTTACAGATTAATATGTAGTAAGAAAAGTTGAAGGGTAGCTTTTTGTTGTTTGCTCTTTTTATTTCAGCAACTAAATTTTCCAGGAGTGGCACAGAAATTTGTGCTAAAATGTTGACAAATCTTTCATTGATCAATAAACCTAATGCTTCCGAATCATTTTCAAGGACATGTTTTATCATAGTATTTGCTGCATCAGTGGCATGTTCATTTGCCAATTGCCTTAACAACTCCCTAAGTTGTTGTATACAAGGATAATTCTAAAATAAACAAATTTTATCATTGCAGAATAATCTTTGCACTAATCGAATAACTCAATGTGTGGTATACTTACTTGTCCAGTAGATAAATTAATTACTGTAGTAATACCAAACACATTATTGGCATCAATGTCTTTGTCATCCAATTCATCTATATCCTCTGACTGTTTAACAACTGAACCCACATAGTTTTGGGAAATAATTAAATCTGTGAGACCACCTAAATCAATGTGAGCTTTCAAAAAAAGTTGCTGTAATAGGGTCTTAATGCCATAATAATCTGGATCCAATGGATTTCTTCCTTCAAAGTCCACTTGAATTTCCATTACCTAATTAAAAAGATCGTATATTTTAACTACACCTATTAAAGTTGTACATTATTTTATCATAACGATAATGAAAAATTAAAACCAAATGTTTAGTAAGAATGACTTTATTATTAAAAAATTTGCTCAATATCGCACGTGCGTAATAATGATCCTGTTGCTTACAATGACAATTGCGTGAACTATTTTCAGGTTGTTAAAAAATTAAAACTTTAATTGTGGTATTTAATTATTATGTTTTGTTTTTAACAAATATCAATTCTATCAAATATGACCACATGTATAACAGAATGAACAACAGCGTGCTCAAAAGTAAGGTTAAGGCCGATCAATGACATTTTACATTGACTTCTCTAACCTAAATTTCTTACCTCTTCATCCAGTACTTCCTTCTCGTTATCCTCATTGTTCGATGAACTTTGGTCATTGTCATCACTATTTCTATCTTCGAAATTTCGTGCAACATCACGTTTTTTTACTGGAGCAGCCATTGTCATAAACTGACGGTTCAGCCGGACTCAAACCACGTGACATGATATCACGCAATTATTTTTAAGACTTTTAGAATATAGTTACTCGATAAAATATGGTATTGTTTATCTACACTCGTCGCAAAGAAAATGATGAAATATTCTTTCGAATTCTCAAAAAATTAAATTAATTATATACATAATAATTATATAAAAATATTTAAAATATAAATTAACAAAATTTTCTTGAATATTTATTAATAATCATGAATAATGACATTGTAATAGTAATCACATAAAATATTTTTTTCATATTACATATAAGTCCAGATAAGGTATATTATCTACAACGTATATTTCATTGTAATATAAATTTCAGTGTAGATAAAGAGTAACAAATATTCAGTACAATTAGTTCAAATATTTGCCAACAGATGTCGCGTCAAGTATAATTTCTTTGTTAGGCTGCTCCAGTAATCAGTCACGACTCATTTACCACGCGACTATGTCATGGTCAGTGTAGTGTTAATTTTGTAAGTTTTTTCTAAATGAAGCAAAAACTTCCAAGGCGAAAAAGAAGGTAAGAGAATTTAACAAGCGCGTATTATACTAAAACGACATCGGACAAGTGGAAAAACGAAAAGCATAAAACATTTTGTGTCGCAGTAGAGGTCGTAAATTTTGTATCCACCGCTATGGAAAATGTCGCCATTCGTCATGCGCTTCAAACGTACCGCGCAAGCGAACTTATTTTTTAAAAGAAAGTTTCACTGCTTAATTGCTTGTTGCTAAAAGGATTGATCGTGATAGAAAAAAATTTGCGTTTCGCTACTCGAAAAGTCACCGGGTGTTCGTTATTCGTTCGATAGGTTTCGATATGGCGGAGGGAAAAATTTGAATTTCGAATGTAGGGTCGTGTGCAGTGAGGCGAAGACGCGTCCGTTGTCGGCACTGCAAGCCAAAATTCGATTAAAGTTCTCGCGCATGGGCCGAAGGAAATCCTGTTTTCTCAAATTTCCCGGAGTCTGTCAGGTGGCACCACGGCGTTCACCGGTCCGGGTACATCGCATCGTACAATACGGAACAGTGCGATCGCTTTTTTAGGTTATAAAAACACGGAAGCCTATAACGTATCCCCGAGTATAGAGTAAAATATTCGCTCGAAAAAAGACAACGGTGGTTCTTTTTGTCGTGCTCCCCCGTGATATTTTGTGAGTGCTTTGAGCTGTGGCGGGCGGTGAGATGGCTGTCTCTCTTTCTCTCTTCTAGTACCTATTTCTATACCTCTATCTTTGTTTCTTTCTCTTTATCTGGTGTTTTTATAGATGTTCGGCTGAATAGATGTTCTCGGACACTGTACTACGTATATTCCTTCTCGCGATTGTATCTCATGATACGCATACAACGTGTATATATCGTGTATCAATGTACACAATGCCCCGATGCATTAAGGACCAGCTCGATTATCAGTACGTAACCGGAAGTAAATAATTTAAACGAAATTTTACGCGATGCAAACGTATCGCGAATATTAAGATTCTATCTTTATAACTGTAAGACGTTCCTTTTTGTTTCCTATAGATTCTATTAGTAACGTAGCTATTTTTTATTAAATAATTATTACAACGTTGCTTGGTCATAGTTATAAATTCATATAAAATCAGACAAACGAATATTTTTTTTTATTAAATGCTTTACAAAACTTTGATAATTTAGAAATTAATTTCTCAGAAATTACATCGACGGACGTTTGGCCTAACACTGTTTATTTGATGATTATTAATTTCATTTCCATAAATCGACGTACGTTTCGAATAATCCTCTTACGATCATACTCGGATTTGTAATTACATATCGCAAAGGAGCACAGAGCAGTCTTTCAGACTAATTACCAAACATGTCACTCTTGTCTCCTCTGGTAAACCATGAAATTATTTTGCAAGCGGAAATTGAGCTACTCCTGGCGTTCGGGCTAACCTGTATATACATGTACACGACTGCAATGTTTTTCATTTCTTGGCTGTTCGGTGTTTTTTTTTAGCGCTGTTCTATAGCATAGCTGTCTCACCTGCCTTGATCTGTACTACCTCTGCGTATCGTTTTTGTTCTCTGCTTCCTCCGCGAGATGCGTTTCCGCGGAACTTTCTCGACCATCGGAAACGACACCATTTTTTTTTCTTTACTCCTTCTCTTCCGTCTTCCCTCGGTCATCCCCACCCTGGTGTTCCTCTGTGACACTGTACGGTCTGCTACGTCGGCGAAAATTTACGGGACGACGGAAGGACCGATAGAAAGTGAACTGTTCCGCGTACTCGCGATGTGGACGCGAGATCGCGCTGAACGCAGCCGATCGAACGCGATTGCCGATTAATTGCGCCATTCCTCCCCTGTTCTCTAATTCGATAGGCTGCTACCGATAACATGCAAACCACCGTGGCTCGTTTGATACGCGGAAACCAGAGATCGCGTTATAGTTTCGGATCTAGTTAGCTCGGTAGATTCGGTTTATCGATTAATAGTCGGTTTCTTTCTGTCCGTTTACCGAGACGGCTCGACGCGACGTCCCGAAATTAGACCAAGTTTTGGCAGTTACCTGTCCAAATGTTTGTTCGGAGACGGCAGCGTAATCCCGATGGAGATTTTCCAGAGATTCCTGGGGAACGGTACTAATCAGGGGAGCGGGAAAATTTGGATAACTCCGCGGACCCGTAAGAGTTAATCGTTTATTGATTTTGCGCGATTTCGAATGTGCTGTTCTAGACTGTTCCATATTATCGCGCTATTTGTCGCACTGGTTTCTGTTATTCAAGACAGCTATGCACGTTTTCGCGTGTGGCGTATGTTCGCCCAGGTATACGGGGTGTTCCGTTTGTTTTCTATCCTCCGATATTTTCGTTGCATTTCGTAACAAGGAAATCTGGGTCATGATAAATTAACGGGTTCGCATTGAAAACGATACGCGTTAATTTTGTCGAATTTTCTAATAACAATGGATTTTAATAATCGGAGAGTCACACCATTGTGGAGTTAGTATTTCCAAAATGATAAATTTCCCGAAGAAAAATTCGTTAAAGTAGGTTCTGTACAAGGGTTTGCTCCAAGATGAAAAATATTTTTGTATTATATAATTAACATTTTCACAGTGACAGAATGGGAAATCGCATAGAAAATTAGCACCCTACAATGTTCAATATTTTTTGACTAACTTCGAGGCGGTATATCTCGGTGACGAAAATATTATCCGACAAGGGAGTACAAGGGGTTAAAAAATAATATTTTTCCTGGAGTTTTCAAAGTCAATTTTTATATCAGCAAATGTAACGAAGATATTAAAGAATGTGAGCCAAAAAAAATAAAAAAATAAAAAGAATACATATATCACAGACAGAGTAGACGAATTTTTATTTATTCGAGAATTCTTCTTTATAATCGTATAACTTTTTAGACACGGGTTGTGAGATAAAATAAAAGGAAAAAAGAGGGGGTGAATAAAAATGGAGATTGGCGATCGACAGTGAAACTATATAAAATGGGGTATATTAAATATAACGAGCAGTCGTTGCGGTTTGGACACGAAGCGGTCCTCTTTCTTGCAGGGGTGGGAATTACAGGGCGAAACGAATGAAATTAAGCCATATGGTTATATCGCAGGGGTGTGCTCGGCCCGATGCGCGGCGCAACTGGTTGATTTATCGGTGCTTTCGCGTAGCGAAAACTAGCAAGAAGGCCGAATTGGATTACGCTGCGTGCACAAATTGCTTTATTCAAATGCAATTTAAGGGTCGCGCGTCTTTCGCAGACTGCAAAGGAGAGTTTAAAGAGGCCATTGTGTTAGACAACGTTCTCGCGTATATACGCTATTCTATTCAATCGATATTTCCTTCTGCTACTTCCTTCCCATTTTTCTCTTTGGACAAACGTATTCTCTATCCATTTGCCAGTCGGTTTTGCGTTGCCTCGGGATCAAATTCTTCCTTTAATTTTTCGTACCTTAATAATCTCGAGTTTTATTTTAAGCAACTCGTGTCGGCCTACGAGCATCGATTTTACGCAACGTTTGACGAATTTCCGGGAAATCCAGTTGAGTTAAGGTCCATTTATAGTCATCGATGATCCCAGCACTAGACAGCGTTTTTTAAATTATTTGCTATTATTTATTAATTATTTATAGTATCTTATGTTACGTGGAATATTTTAATATCACACATACGACTGGAAATGAAGGCGACACTAAAACATTATTATTTCTCTCGATATGAATTATAAACGGACCTTTAATTGACTTTGATAATTATTTTCGAGTCTTTACTGCTACGTGGAAGATTTCAATATCATACATGCGAATGGAAATTAAGGTGACGATAAAACACTGTCATTTCACTCGATGTGAATTATAAACGGACCTTTAATCGACATTGATACGTCAAAGCGTCTGAGGTCCTTTCCTACCCGACTTTTCGAGACCTAAGCAACGTGGGTGGACATTGACATTATCTTCCTTCGACTATTTCCCATATTCTGGCCTCTCTTTATACTTCTTCCACTTGGTCCCTTCCTCTCGAGGAATCCTCGCGGCTGATTACATCGCAATACGCAGGAAGACGTCGGAATATCGCGCGCGTGTAGGTGAAGCTTTACTTCCATCCAGAAGAGTCTTTCTGCCATTGAAACAAGCTGCTCGCCGAGCAGATCGGGGATATAAATTCGATCGCGGATCTCCCGTCGCTGGCAGAGAATGCTCCAAACGATGCAGCGACTTATCAATTCGCATCGAGGGGTTGAATATCGCCAAGTTGCGTGGATTACGAGAGATTTATCCTAGCTTCTCGCCCTTAGCCACTATACCCGAACGTTAAGCAACGCTTTAGCGAACCACGAGTCACTAGATTTCTCCGTGAAAGAATTGCACTGCCTTTACGTTCCAAAGCTGCCGCCTCTGACCTGCTCCAGACATCCATCACGATTTACTCAAACGACTCACCCTCCACGTTGCGATATCCCACACATTTTTACCGAACTTCCAGCTGTAGCTGTTGCAATAAAAATTCGAAACCGGTCGATTCTAGCCTTAATCGCTCAATTCCAAAATTTCCTTGTCGATCGTGGATTGGAATTTTGGAATTTCGATATCCGATACCTTTTTATCGAATTTCCAGATATGGTTGTTGCAATAAAAATTCGAAACCGGCCGATTCTAGCATTAATCGTTCATTTCTAAATTTTCCTTATCGATCGTGGATTGGAATTTTGGAATTTCAATATTCGACATCTTTTAATGGAATTTCCAGACGTAGCTGTTGCAATAAAAATTCGAGACCAACGATAGCTTTAATCGTTCAATTCGAAAATTTCGTATGGATCGTGGATTGGAATATTGGAACTTATTTTTGGCACCTAGAATCGAGGATTCTTTACATTTCAGGTTTTCACCGTGACAGCGATGTATTCACGAGCGTGTTATACATGTATTTCTGAATAATTGTTATTGGATTTTCGGAGGATTCTATTAGGATTCTATTACACTCGACCCACTTGCAACACGGTCAATACGTTCGGTTAATTCGTTGTTGTATCGAAACT